AAGGTATTTCCTGCACTTCACATTATATATAAATCTGTTATATTCTACACATATTTTTCTAAATAAATATGCTATATAAAAATAACTCTTTTCAATGTGAGAAATTTGTTGGGCTGTCAGAAACTGTTATTTTAATCCATTTATGCTTCTGGAAAGGTTTTTATAATGGCAATATGTTCTTCTGGATTATAAATTCAGAACAATGTTGCTCACTTTTGGGCTTTTTGGTTTTGTGGGGTTTTTTGTTTTGTTGTTGTTACTGAGTTTACTTTTTTGCTTCTTATTCCTGCATACAATGTGATAGATTAATCTGATAGCTCCTCCTCGTTATGTGATGACCACTACAACGCTGGAGAGAACCGAAGGGCTCTCTGTTCTGAATCAAGCCATGGCCGTCATTAAAGAAAAAATTGAGGAGAAGAGAGGTGTCTTCACTGTGCAGATGGAAGTAAGAACACATTGCATTCTGAAGCATGTCTGTGTCCCCTCTTTCTCCCCCGTTCTGCCAATAGTTTTAGAATAGAGCAAGATGAGTAGTGCTAGAAAGCATTTTAGCAAAACAATATTATGAAACTAAATAAACTGGAACTTCTCCTTTGGTAAACAAATGGCCAAACTTTCTAATTTTTCTGTTTCTATTGCATGACTTTATTTAACTTCTTGCTCTTTATGTAGAATCAGAGAAACCAACTTTTTTTTTCCTTCTTTCAACCTAAAAAAAATAATGTTTGCTGATGACTTTTTTTGTTGTTTTTTCCACAGCCAAAGGTGGTTACTGACACAGATGAGACTGAGCTTGCAAGGCAGCTGGAAAGACTGGAAAGGGAAAATGCTGAAGTAGATGGGGATGATGATGCTGAGGAAATGGAAGCCAAAACTGAAGACTAAATTTTGTGGAATACTTAGAAGAGAGAGAGCATATGAAAAATTAGACATCCCACTGCAAGTACCCTGGACCAAATGTTTCCAGTATTGAAAACTTCAAAAGCAAATATATCAAGTATTTTACTGTTATAAAACAAGAACAATATATGAAATTCTCTCCTAAACAACATTTGCTCTCATGCAGCAACTTACGCAAATTGAGTCAAAGGAAGGTGCTAGGCTGCATTCAAGACTCAAGCCTCAAGGCCAGAGAGGGGCTACAGACCCAAACTTACCACTTCCATTTGTAACAATTCCAAATTTAATACTACAGCTCAGTGCATCTGTGAGATCTGTGAGTGCATTTCTAGATCACAAAAAACAGGCAAGGTGAACAGTTATATACAGAATGTATTCAAGCAAATATTCAATAAATTTCTGGGCTATATAACTCTTTTTCTTTCTTGTTACATGAAATAGTATCATTCTAAAACCTGACAGAGCATGATTAGTGCATGATTGGCCTTTAAAATGGAAAATACCTGAATGTGTCATCACAAAATATACAAACAAATCTTTTATTCTTTCTCAAGTTACTATCTTAGAAGTTATGAGCAATAGCCTTGTCATGATGTGAATTTTTATCTCTACCAGATGCTTGCTGCTGATAATTTCACTGCTGCTAATTTCAGTTTTCCATTTATCAGCTCTTTTGAACAATTATATTCCACATTTGCCCATTCCTCAAAATAATTAATTCAACACATATGTGGTACTCTGACAAAAGAGAAAGGGGTGTAAAAATTGAAAAGTTTCCCATGCCCTCTACACCAGAATCACATAGCAAAGCAATGTCTTGAAGAGGAGCGACTCCCGCCCTTTAAGTGAAGGGTGTAGCCAAGCTGTTGTGGCTGGAGTCTTCTCTCAGAGTTAGTGGGTTAGTAGGTGACTGTCATTTCTATCAGTAACTTAGGCAAAAGGTGCTAAGCTTGTTCAGTAACTACAGGAACTCTTCTAGCTTGAGCCTCATCCACTGCTATGCGCTGTTGTGTGTCAGTTCTGAGTGTCTGGAAAAAATGACGGAGGAGGTGAGGCTGGTAATGAAGCAGCTTAAGGTAAATGCATTTTAATCACTTGGCAGCCTGGCAGATGAACATCCTTCTGTTTCCTGGGCAAATTCTTACCAAGAAGAAGAAACCACTGGGTATTCCTTATGTAGGAGGAGAGGGGAAGAAGGAAGGAGCTTCAAGGTGGCTTCTTTGAGGCTTCTTAGCTAGCTAAATCCTGAAGTTAGTGCCAAATCTGTGAAACCTGTGCTGGGCCTTGGTGTGCTGCAGTGGCTGTCAGGTCAGTGGCTGACGTAGTGTTGCTTAAAACTCTTCAGAATTTTGTGTTTTGAGGATTCCTTTTATCTCAATAGATCTATTTTGAATGTTTGGACAAGTGTTTAGCCCCATGCTTAAAACAAGTGTTGGGATGGGTGAGCGGTCCTGTGACTATCTCTGTAGAGGCAGAGGTTACTGTAGGTCCAGTAACTACCTCTGTGGGAGGGAGTGGATTCCTGCTCTTCGTTAGCAACTTGACCATTCACTAACTTGCAGTTGCAAGGCTAACAGCTCCGCTCATACTTGTGTAGTCAACTAAAGGGAAAACTGCAGGCAGTTCTGTGGACAGAGCTTGGCTTGGAGTCTCCTCCTTTGGAGATCTTCAAAACCCACCTGGATGCCACCCTGTGCCACATGTTCTAGGTGTCCCTGCTTGAGCAGGAGGTTGGACTAGATGATCTCTAGAGGTCCCCTCCAACCTCACCCATTCTGTGATAAATCAATTAAATTCCATATCCCGGACTAATTTGCTAAGATTAACAGCTTGAAAACAGTTTAACTTTCCAGAGCTCCCCAGATCTCAGTGTGTTTAGGAGTGCATCATTCTTCAGAGGAGACCCCTCAAGGCCGGAACCTGCCTTCCCAGCATGTGCACTAGTCCCACAGCCCCGATCTGCCAACCCGCTTTCCCCACATGCTCTGTCAGAATGAGACATGTGCTTCATCCCCAGGGGCAATAACCATAGGGACAATTTGTTAGCCTTGAATGACCTCTGCAGAATGAGAAAGGAGGAGGAATGTGTGTGTGTGTGTGTGCGTGCACACAGTATATCTGTTGAAAGCATGGAAGAAATAAAATGATTCCAGATTTAAAAAAAGTAGTCAATAGAGAAGCAATCCTATTCCTGGGCTGTTTCTCTAATAAACCTCATTTCTTAGGCAACTTTTGTAGAGTGAGGTCCCCTTCTGCCTCGCTGCTCAGCAGCAGTTTGACAGCGCAGTTCTTCCCCGCTCGCGGCAGCTTTGCCGAGGCGCATCTCGAGGTTGTGGGTGGTCTGCACGTTGGAGAGCGAGAGCGCGCTCCGGTCCTCCGCAGGGACGCGTTCTTGTGCAAGTCTGAGATCACTGCCTGAGCGAGAGCCCCTGCAAGCTTCTGCCTGTCCTCACTAGCATGAAGTTATGCTACCCACCTGGTTAGGAGCTGCCTGCAGTAGCAAGTTGAATGGCGAAGTCAAACCTCAAATACCGTGTGCTGGAGGACTGTGTTCGCGGAGTTTTTTTTATATAAAGAGCTGGGAAATGAGCACAGTAGTTGCATTTTGCCTACTTAGATCTGCTGCATTTTCCTTTGATGCAGCATTGCTAATCTACTTGTGGACCTGCTCTTGTGAATATTTCACATATTATTATTAGCTCTTTCCTAAAGTTCAATGTTGGTGAGGCAGTGCTGGTATGTAGAGGGAAGCATTTAATTCTGATTTACAGAACATGTGGTGAGCTGAAATTACTGTTTTATTTTTCTACCGGCTACATCCTTTTTTCCTCAAGATGCTGCTTCTGAGTACATACTTTTATTTATACAGGCTTGTGTGCCTTCTTCAGTGCCTTTCTCTCCCTCCTTCCACATGAAGTCAGAAAAGTAGCATAAAGTGTGTTTGTTCCTTTTCCTCAGTACTTGAAAGCGTGACCAGTAATTTGATCCCACATAACAAAGACTGAGGGGAGATGCTTGAGTCAACTTGTCTGACGGACTCTGAACTCTCCGCATAGCAACAAGAGCTCTTGTTTACTCGTTATCCTCCACATCGTGTTTCTTACCAGTCTGTGGCTTTAGCCACAAATATCGCCTTACTTTTGATACAAGTCAGGAAACGCTAAGAGTACGGGCAAGGCTCTGAACAACAGCTCTGCCTGAAATGCTGTTGGTTCCACTGGCTTATTTCATGGAGACCCAACAAAAGGGATTTATTATGGCTAAAATTTCCAAAAATGAATGACTGAAGGCTACTAATCTTGGGCACAAAAAAGGCACTCGTGTTTCAGCGGTTCTCAGTAGTTTCAAGCAATCACTACAGGGTGTTTCTGTTTTTCTGAAAGCATTAGCAGCTTTTAGGAACATAAACTGCTTTCATGTGGATTTAGGTTCCTAGGTTTAAGCAGGCATATTTGAATCTCATGGCTTTTATCTCCAGGGGCCACTGAAAGTGGAGTGGGGTTTGGGGTTTTGGTGCTTTGGGGTTTTTTAGGTAACATACATTTCTGTCAAACAAAAATATATTTTAAGTCTTGTGAATTCCCCCTTTAATCATTCTGCTTTACACTGAGGGTGGTGTGTTCTGTAGTGCCCCATAGGGTCTGCTTAATACAGGAGAACTTTCTTGCTGTGTAGCTGAGCGGCCTGAAGGTTTGACGGATTCAGTTTTATACTTCTGCTCCCCCCGTTCCCATGTGAGATATGTGTCTGATCTGATTTGTCATCGTGGGGCTGCTGTTTCTGTCGGCTTGCTCACCCGGCGGTGCTTTGTTACCGTACTGAATTCTGTCTAAGTCTTTTGAAATCCTCCCTGAACTTCCCTTGTTTTACTTCCCTGAGGGCAGGTGCTGTATCAGAGCCAGTTCAATGTTTAACTAATGTCTCATAAGTGGGATGAAAGGCAGAAGAAAAAAAAAAAATCCAGGCGAGTACGTCACAGCTGAGGAGGAGGGTGGTGGGGAAAAATGAGCTTTTTTAACCCGCTTGTGCACACAGGGACGGGCTGCAAGGGCTGGGACGTGTCTCAGTGGCGCTGGGCTCCCCTGCGCGCTGGCTACGATGCAGGAGGCCAGCGGGGTGCTCAAGGAGGGCTTCCTCGTCAAGAGGGTAAGTGCTCTCCAAGCCTGGAAGGTAAAACACGGTGCCTGGCTTCGTTCCTGTGATTCTGCTTGCGGCCGGGCTTGCGGCGCGGTGAGGCCGTCGGGGAGAAACCTCCGAGGTGGCGAGTGGTGCTGGGGGCTGAATTCCAGAGTGGCAGGTGCTGACTACCCGTATACCGGTTTCCCTGCCCCGGTCTTTGCCCAGAGGAAAGTGGATTAGCCATGACAGTGAGTCACTGGAGAGGCAATATGTCTGCAGAGCAACCTGGGCCCCATGTCTGTAAAGAGCCCATAAAAATGCCTGGCAAGGGACCACGTGGCACCAGTGGAAGCGGCCATGGGAGGACGGCTAGAGGGAAGGTGTTCTGAAGGTCTCTGTTCGCTCTGTGCCTTCTGCAGGGCCCAGCAGAGCAGGGTTGCTCAGTTCACATGAGGGTGTGGCAAACGGCATCTTCTGAGGGGAGCAGAACAATCCTAACTGTAGAAACGTGTTTGCAATAAATAACTCCTTTCTTCTATACCCTTCACACTCATCCATGAGAAATTTTCAGTCAAAACATGGAGAAAACAACAACAACATTTCAGCCTTTCCCACCACCTGTCCCCATAGGACCAGGCATAACCGGGACTAAAGAGTGCAACTTAACTGATGGCATAAACTGCTACTAGTGCCAAGATGCTGTCTTTTAACACCAGTGACTAATGTGGTCTTTAACTGCACTCAAAAAACATTATTACAAGGGTAGCTCATAGCTCCACCATGCCTGGTGAAATGCTTCTCCTGTGACATGGCAGCGCTAGCACAGAACTAACCCTGGCCAGGAGCAATCCGCCCAGGCGGCCCCACGTGGAGCCAGGTGAGCAGAACAGCCCCAAGTAAACTCTGCAAGAGACAGGAAAAGGTTAAATGTAAGTTACCATCTTCTGGAACAGAAAGAAACTCCAAGGGGGAAAGAAGAGTCACCATGAAGAGTGTATTCAGAGAAAAAGCAGCCAATGGCCCTCACAGCAGGTGAGGAAGACGGTGAGGAAAATGAAGAGAATGAGATCAAGCTAGATAAACTGTATTTAGTATAGACTAGAAGACATTAGATTTAAAGTGACCTGGGTTTAATTGAACTTGACGGCCCCAACTTTTCTTGGAAACTGCTGTTTTCCCCCCTTGCTGATGGAGAACTAATGAGCTTTGCTTCCTACCACAGCCGGACCCTGCACATTCGTCCTTCCCGCCGCCCCCACCCTCCTCCAGGTGTCAAGGCTGCCTGCCGAGCGCCTCGCTGCCGCCTGCGGTGCCCCGTCATCCGCAGCAGCGCCCGGCAGCGCCCGGGCCGGCGGGGCAGGGCAGGAGCAGGCCTGTCGGTGCCAGCCCCGCTCGGCGAGTCCTGCCCTACAGCCGGGCGGAAAACAGCTGGAGGCTGGCGTTATTTACCGAGCAGGGGAAAAAAGGGATTTTCTTGTATTCTGGTATAATCTAGGGGACATTTGACTGTTCACGGCTTTCCTTTAATCTTTTGCCATTAGAGACAAAAAACGGGGGCCTGGGGAATTTTGATCCAAGGAGACTAGAGGCAGGTGTGATAGAAATAACCCCTGACAGCAGTATGAGGGGAGGCGATGGAAAGCCAAGGGTTGCAGCAAAGTGCTCCCGAGTCCATTTGTCACCTGCAGCCACACCAAAAAGACAGAGAGGGAGACTTTTGTGGAGGCATCCATCACTATCCAGAGCCCACGGGGAACGGGAGTTGCTCTGCAGGAGCTGCTGAGCGTGCTGATGGCCTCCCAGGTTCCAGGTTTGCCTCCCTCCGGCCCAGTGCTGCCACGTGGTAGGGGCTCGCCCCAACACGGCTTTTTAAGATCCTTCCCCTGAGCTTTTGCAGGAAAACTTCTTGTCAGCAGAGATGATATCCTGCTGGAGAAAGAGCACAGCGTCTTTCTGTTCTTGCTGCGTGATTTTATATTGATGTCACTTTGGTATTTCTTACTGAAATGTGTATGACAGAGAGCGGGGGACCACAGTGACTCCTTACAATCTTATTCGTCCAGTTTCCTGTTAGTCTGTGGTGTTTGCATGAAAAAGAAAATACAGTCATTTCTCTAATGCTTATGTTAAGAAGAGCTATGTGGATTTCTTTCCCTCTAGGGACATATTGTTCACAACTGGAAGGTGAGATGGTTCGTCCTGCTTCAGGATAAGCTGCTGTACTATAAACTTGAAGGAGGCAAGAAAGAGCCTTCTCCAAAGGGCAGGATCCTTTTGGATGGCTGCACCATTACTTGTCCATGCCTGGAATATGAGAACAGACCGGTATGACTGGAGAAAGATATCCCTGCTAAATGACACCGCTCTATAAGCTCTCTCTAGTCCTCGGGTTGGGAGCCCTTCTCCTTCTCCAGTGGGACTTTGCTGCTGTGGAAATACTTTTAGCATGCGGAGTCTGCAGAGGAAAGTGCCTCCCTTGTTGCTCTGGTCACTGGCTGGTACCAGCAGCACAGACTTCACCTAAACAGGGCGCAAGGGGATAGCTCTGTAAATTGCTCACTATTTAGGCACTTCTCTTGGCAGAATGAGCCTAGGGAGAATTTTTAGCTGTTGAGAGACTGGAGAAGGCCTGGATGTGAAAAGCTCTACTGCCAGTAGCAGACTCCTATGTAACCCAGTGTCTGGGCAGTTTGCTCTCCTGAGTACCTCTGGCTCCGTGCATGTTCACTGTGTTTGGAACTAGAAAAGCAAAGATTGGGAAAAAAAAGAAAGGAAAACAACAAGTAGCAGAGTCCTTGAGGCCACACACTGCTTGGTCCTGCCCGGTGGGATGGCATACCCTTCCCTCACTTGACCCACCTGACTAGGGGTAAAAGAAGCAAAATGTGAATGGTATTAGCTAAACGTTGTGGTTGCTTTATGTTTCTCTCTCCACAGCTGCTTATTAAACTGAAGACAAAAACCAACACAGACTATTTCCTTGAGTGTTGTTCCAGAGAGGAGCGAGACTCCTGGGCTTTGGACATTACCGGAGCTATTCATGCTGGCCACCCCGTGCAGGTGCAAGAGCTTCACAGGATGAAGAACTCCTTCAAGCTGCTGGCGAATATCAGCCTCCAGTAAGTATAAATGCCCTCTCCTCCTGCTACTGCTGCAGCCTGTGAAGCGCCCGAGCTGGGGGACAGAAAGGCTCAGGGGAAGCTCCTCACTGCCCAGGCCACCTCGCTCATGGTCCTGGTTTTTCCCAGGTGTGGGGATGTGCTTTTTCCTGACCATCGTGTTCTGGGTGCACAGCTCTGCGGCTGGCCTGAGGCTGTCTTAGTGCTGCTTGCAGCGGTGTTGCCATCAGGGCAATACCTCAGCTCCAGGGGTGCAACATCAGAGAGAGGCTCATGGGTGACTGTTGGCGCTGCGCTGGTGAGCGTTCAGCGCTGATAGCCAAAATCCAGGCAAGGATTTTCAGGGCACGTGATGCTAAACTAGAGGAAACTGAGAACTGACTAAGGAAGAGGTGAATCTGAGCTGAGTTGAGGAGATCCAGATCAGGTGAAGTGCTTTGGAATGAGACATGCTTAGTGAGGCATCTTGCTTAGCACTCTGCACTGGAAGAATTGAGCTGTCCTATTCCATACTCAGGAGGAAGCTTCAGGAGAGTCCCGAGGCTGTCCCTGTTAGTTAGATTATGTTAGTAATCACTGACATTTCAGTCACTGACAGAAGTACATGACAGTTTCTGCCTGTTTTTCCCTTCAGGTAACACTCTCCTCCCTACTCTTTTGCAGCCACATAGTGGACAAAATGCACGATAACAGCAGTGGAATTAAGCTGACCCCCAACATGGAGCAAGGCAACAGATACAAAGAGACCTTTACAGGTACATGTGCTGCAGACAAGCACTTCCACCCACCCGATGTGCCATGTTGCAGCCTTGCCATGCAAGAGCTCGTTGTCTTGGTCTGAGCTGCCTTCTCCCTGCAGGTTCTGCCGTGGTGGACTGGCTGATCTCCAACAGCTTTGCTGTGTCACGATTCGAGGCCGTCACCTTGGCCTCCATGCTGATGGAGGAGAACTTCATCAGGCCCGTGGGAGCCCGCAGCATCGAGGCCACGCGTTACAGCGACCTGTCGGAGCAGTTCCTCGACGACTCCACCGCGTTGTACATGTTTGTGAGTGATAGAACTGCCAGTGGAGGCATCTGCTGTGCCCTTGGTCTGGCACTTGGTTTTGGGCCATGGTAAAGCAGACGCACATGACATGCACGTGCATGTGGTGAAAAAAGCATTAAAGGAGAAGCTCTGGGATTTTAATATTAGAAGGCTTGTACCTTTGCTGGAGACAGATAACTACATGGATATGGAGGGACCTATGGATTAGGTAAGCAGGTATTAAAAGAGGTGTGGCCTTCAGCCCTGCTATGTCTGCATTTAATGGGCACCATGCTGTAGCTCTGCTATGTCAAGGCCACCGTGCATGGGTAGGGGTAATTCATTGCTTGTAAATCTCAGAACTGCTGACCTGGGCACCAGGGCTAGACTAGTCTTCTTTCAGAAAAGAAATGAGCTAAAAACAGCTCCAGGGAAGATAAAATAGAGTGCAAGTTTGCATTTAGAAGTATGTTTAGATTATTTAAGTGTTGCTATCTTTTCTCCATTTGTAGGCTGAGAGCTATAAGAAAAAGATCAGTTCCAAGGAAGACCTGCAGTTTAACGTCAGTGAATTAAGTGGCACAATTGTGAAGCAAGGCTATTTAGTGAAACAGGTAAATATAGTCCATGAACCTTCACTGTGAAAGAAGAAATATGACAGCTGTTAAGGCTGCATGGAGAAAAAATGGGGGTTATAGGACCATTGCTGGAAAATTATGGCCGACAGAGAAGAGAGAACTTTCTTGTCAACTTTGCTATTAGATATAATATAGTGAAGAGGATCTAGTCATAAAGTGATGAAGGATGCTAAGCATAAAACTCCGGGAGTTGTAAAGATGTCAGAAAAGATTTTTCCCTGTTGGCTCCAAACCTCTAATTTTAACACCCATTTAGGCTTCCCCTGCAGTCTGCAGAAAAAAATGGCCATTGCAGCATTTACTAGTGGTAACTTCAATTCTTCCATGTTACAGGGGCACAAGAGGAAAAACTGGAAGGTGAGGAGATTTGTTTTGAGAGCTGACCCTGCTTTCTTGCACTACTATGACCCCACAAAGGTAGGTGAGTGGAGAAGTGGCCTTCTCAAAAACACTCTTACATAATCATAATAGTAATAATAATATGCAATTATGCTGTAAATGTTGTTTATGTCATCCAAATCAGAATAGTTAAAAGAGCCTGAAGAGCTGGTTCATCTTTTCCTTGCCACTTTCTTTGTGGTCTCTTTTCTTCATTGCAACTCCCCCTTTTAATGCTGTAAACTCAAACTGCAGAGCTTGGAGATCAGGCAAGAGAACTGACCTGCTAGTGATAACAGTCAGATTTTTTTCTCATGCAGGCTCAGGGAAAAGCGGTAAGCTAAAAACTGCTAGAAATATTTCTTTTTAAAATATGTAAATATGTTATTGATAAAATGGTACAGACATTTTAAATACATAATTTTTATACTACCTCTGTGCTTTTAATCAACCTCCACCATTCCCAGCACCCTCAAAGAAATCTCTGAGACTGGGGGAAAATTATATTGAACTTAATCACGTGTCCTAACTGACTTCTCCTGTGACTTGGTTTAGATCCAGAAAAACTGGCCTCCCCTTTCCCCTTTCGTAAAAACAATTGATCTGCCCTGGAAAATAAGTCTGTATTTTTTACAGATAAGCTTCATTTCCATTTTATTTGCAGGAAGAAAACAGGCCAGTGGGAGGATTTTCTCTTCGTGGCTGCCTCGTCTCAGCTCTGGAGGACAACGGAGTCCCCACGGGTAAGCACAAGCCTCCAGACTTGCCTGCGTCCAAATTCCTACCCTAGCAGAACCATTCTGAGGGGTAGGATCACGTGTGTACCCAAGTGAGCTCTCCTTTCCTCTCACATGTCCGTCACGGGAGGAGGCAGCCCACTGAAAAGCCCCATACTGCTAGGCTGTCCCACGCCAGCTGGGAACTTTTACACTTATTTCTTCATATCTTGAACGTTTAGAGTTATTTCTACATATCTTGAGTGTTCCCCTTTTTCTGGGCCTTTCTCAGTCAGATGACCTCTGAGATTGTCTCAAGACACTGATTAATATTACAGAGTTAACAGTCAAAGAGGAAATGTCTTGGTTTTAGATGTTGTTGAACCCAACACCCAGAGGGATCCCCTGATGCCATCCCTTTTTTTCTGTTCTACTTATGCCATTACTTTTTTTTTTGATCTGCTACAATCAAAACATAGGACAGAATAAAAAATAATCGTATTAAAAAATCAAAACAAGCAAAAAAGCCAGTTCTGCTAGTGTATGTGCTTGCCTTCACATTTGTCTGGAACCTCAGCCTCACAAATAAGTGTTTTTGCTGTTAAAGATTTTTTTTATTATAGTAATATATGTAGTTTTGCAGGGTGTATATGTAGAGAGAGCATTAAAGATTGTGAGTTTATTACAGTAGCCCAAAGGAACATCTTTCTAAAGAAATGTCTTTAAGAGTTGGTTTCCTTTTCCCCTTCCTAAGCAATAAATATTCCCTGAAAAACATACAGAAGTGGGGTTGGCGAGGGAGAGAGATGACACAGCAGTAAGAAGGACAGCTTCCTGCTAAAGGGAGCAAGGAACAAGTCTAATCTACTTCAGGAACTGTTAGAGAGTTCATCTCTCTGTTGCATGACTCCAGTAAGATTCCCTATCTAAACAGCACATGTTTTACTTACGGTGCATAACACACAGTAGTTCATCCAGTCTTTAAGAGGGTTCTGTACTACGTCTTTATAATGCAGAAGGGGAATCAGACATATGGGCTTTAGATGTCCTATCCATAATGAAACAAATAGATCTGCTTCCACTATGTTAAAATTCCTCTCGGGGAGACTTCGTATCTGCTGAAAAGCAGCCCTCCGTGTACCCTCCTGATCTGTCACATTTCTTTTTTCCTGCAGGAGTGAAGGGGAATGTGCAAGGCAACCTCTTCAAAATCATCACCAAAAATGACATCCATTATTATATCCAGGCCAGCTGCAAAGCAGAGCGAGTGCAATGGATTGAGGCCATCAAACCTCTGACATGAGTCAGGCGGACTCCATGACAAGCGGGAAGTCACATCTGTGACCAGGTTTCCTGCTTTCTTTGTCTGGGAGTGTTGTTTTTTTCTCTTAGACTTGTTTTGATAGTTGTATTACCAGAGCACAGAAGTCATGTCAATCCAGAGTAAAAGTTAACCAGCAAAAATTTACCATCTAACCGAGAGACAAAGAACAACAGGTTCATACAGACAAATGGGAATTTACAAGGAAAGAATGAGATAGAATATTCCAAGATGGAAGAAAATATCCTTCTTTTGTACAAGTATGCAGTTTACATCTGCAGATCCAGACTATGTTTTTACCTAAGGCAGAAAAGTGTTGCTCATTTCCCCCTTATAAAAGGGCTCATAAACTTAGCCCAGGCTGAGTGAACGGAGGTATGTGAACTGGCTCAGAGCTGTGAAAGGTTCTGGTTTCCAAGGCTGCCTGTCTTGGAAGCACCATGAAAAATCCTGTGTGAATTCCAGTCTAGCTACCAAGATACCGCTCTTGTGAAACAACCCGCAGGTCCGTCTGGCCATCCATCTGCTCTGGTATCTGGTTCTTTGTCACGCCAGAAAAGATCAGAGAGGCCCCCACTCTGACATACATTTTTTTTCTTGTCTGGGCAATGGCTCATAGCACTACCTGGTCCTGAGTGCTGCTCTGTCCGAGCCGACCGGCCGTAGCAGTTCCAGACAATGGCTGGTGCTGAGTGTGTTGGAACAAATCACTCAGCCATGAGAGCAAGACTTTTCTTTCTGATTGTCCCCATAAACCCATTCCTGCGTTGCGCCGCGAGGACTGAAGAGCTTTCATAGCAGTTCTACTGATTGTTGTCTCTATTTTATATCATTAAACTTTGCATTGTTTTTCTAGCAAACTTGACTCTGATATTATATTGTTATTATTAAACGTTATAAAAGTTCAGTGTATTTGAATCCACTATGCTCTTTTAATTTTCTCAGAGAGTAGTTTGGGGTACGTGAAAATAATGGTTTCATATAACCTAAGCTTAGATTAGTATGAAAACTCAAGACCTCTTCCACAGTGACAGAGAATTGAATGGAATTTAGTGAGATGGCTAAAATACCCTAACAGGATGACCATTTTTTTATAAAATTCCTCATATTACCTGAGAACCTGTGCCTGACAGCCAGGCTCTGCAAAATCTTCTAGAAGAAGCCCTCTGAAACCAATGTGCTATGTATCTTCCCTGAAATCACAGAGAAATCTGATAGGCCCCTACCCACAGAAGGACTTATTTGCAGATTTGTTGTCCTCCAAGTTCTGTCCAGAAAAAAAAGGAAAAGCCTCTTTACGTAGAGATATTCTCCTTTTGCCTGTTTTCTTACCAACCAGTTATGAAAGAGCCAAAGACAGCAGTCATGATATATAAATGTATTATAATAGCCACATATTCAGGAATCTTTTGTAAATCTACATCAGTAAAATATCAACATAACACTCACGTGCAGTGAAATATTTAACAGAGTAAATACAGAAGCTTGCCAGTGCAGATCCATTTTTAATGAGAAACAAGAACAAGCAATGTAGCTACAGATACCACTGCTGATCCAGAGAAGACTGTGAAATCCACAGCTGTGGAGACCTTTCAGCTCATGTGAACTCTACCTGCAAGAGACAAGGATGATGGTGAGGCATTTACTGCTCTGTCCTGGGAGGCATAGATAACTGTGCTGAGTGATCAGGGCTTCCAGGAAGAACATTTTTCTCCTGCTAATGCAAACCCTGCTGGGGGCCCATCAGACTCCTTCGCTCATTTACAAGGAGATCTCCAACCTTTCTTCTCTCAATACCACCACCTGTGTGCTGCTCAGTTCCAGTCACAAGAGTAACAGCTATGCTATCTCTGGGAGGCCTGACAGCAGCAGCTGGCATGGCTGGGGGCATGGTGGGGAGAAGTTCATAAGAACAGGAGGTATCACAGAGCATCATAGACCTCAAGTTGAGAAGCTGTGAGATCTCTGCAAAGGCCTTCTGATTTACCTGGACCAGCCACAGCCCTGCCATTGCTCAGTGTGCGTGAGAAAAGAAGAAAAAAGTGTATGTTTCAAACACACCAGCAAGTGAAACAGACACAGTCCCCAGGAGAGAAAGCAAAAACATTTCCCAGGCAGAAGAAAGTACATTTGTCTTTGTCCCCTGATGATACTGAGGATCTTTTCTATCAAGCCACTTTGGTAAGCTTGATGTCCCCCGTGATCTGCAGAGCTTTCACGAAGTTCAGGGCCTGAATGCGGTGAGTGAAATCACAGAACTGTCGTCCATCAACTAAGACCCGAATTTGCTGGTGTTCACACAAGAGCTCCATCTGCAATGGAAGAACAACAAGGGAAGGTACCAGAAACCAGCAGCAGTGATTTTGCTAGCATGGTCTTAGAACCCCGTGTGATCAGGATATCAAAGCACAAGGCCTACAGATTTTTCTCTGGCATCTCTAAATTAACAACTTCTGCTGAGATAATACTGTAAAATTCCTTACAGTGAACTCTCTTGGTAAAACTAGAAAAGAAATCGTTCTCCCCCATCAGGGCTGTTGATGAAGCATGAATGGTTCTCTCAGTGCCGTACCAGACCAGTATGCCAGGCTCGTTAATGTAGCAATTTCAATAGATAGAAATCTGTTATGATGTATGCACCCTTTCTGCCTTTGTCCCACCCTGATCAGAGCACCTCCCAAATTACCTTAAATGTGTCACCTGCTGTAAATGGGAAGTAGGGAATATTTTTCTCTTCTCTTCCCCATTTCCCACCAATTCGTGCATTTCGGGTGATGGATTTGTCACTGAAATTGACTGTAAGTAACAGCCCAACATCCTTGTTTGCATCCACTGGATCACAGAGCAGAGACACTACAAAGCTGAAAAAAACAGTTCGGTGACTAGGTCTGTGAGAAATGTAAAAGAACAGAGGAAACATGGCAAATGCATGGAGAATGCACTTGTGGGTGAGCCAAATGGGTGAGCCATAAAGGAGGCTATGGAAAAAAATCTGTTAAGAGAAGAAATCTCTTCTGCAGTGGAAGCACAGGCATTGATAGCAGTAAAGGCAGAAAATGTCATGATAGCATAGGTGCTGTCATCTGGAATGAACACAGCAGTGGAGCTGCACTGTCTGTGCCAAACCCAAATGTTTTTGCTGTGCAGAATTAAATGGGGTTGCCACGAGTTCTGAATTACATCAGCTCCTGAAAGAGCAATGCTCATAAACTCCCCACAGTGTTCACAAGATCAAGGCAAGGAGCAGAAAATGCGGCAACAGCAGTACGAGAGCCTGAGCAGTGTATTCCTTCTTAAACTTTAATCACACTCTAAAAGCAGCAAAAGGAAACAGAACCATAAATTATGAATCTGTATGACTTTCCTCCTCCTCAAGAAACCGTTTGAATTTAAAAGGCAGGTATGTTACAGTGTATGAAGTGACAGGACATCACAGAAGCCCTTCACCTACCTCTTGGGGTTGGAATGCACCATCCCTATGACAGTGATTTTCATGGCTGGTCTCAGTCCACCTTTAATTTCCCCCATGTATTGCTCCACCTGTGGGGAACAGTGAAAACACGCTGGGGTAGTTTACAGCTTGCTTAAACTACCTTTAGCAACTGCTTTGGTTCCCTCCTAAAGTTCTCTTTTCACAGGTAAAAAGGATTTTAAAATAATTTTTATATTTTTAGTCCAAATTTCGTTCATTCTGGTAATAGAGGTGAGACATAACCAAAATGACTGATAGCAACAAGGTGACTAACTTGATAGGGCTGTAAACTGTGACAGGCAGTGTCTGACTAAAGACTGGCATGGCTAAGATGACTGGCTGCTGTCAGCACTGTATGTGACTGATATGCATGATTAATTAATGTGACAGCACACCTCATGCGGCTCCCTAAACAGGTACCACAAACTTACAATGATTGGCACCACTGGCTAAGTTAAGAGTAAGCACTTCAAACACTGAAGCTGCTCCGGTAAATGAGATCAAGGAGGTGATGTGACTCATGCTTCAAGAGAGTGACACATCTCGGATTTCCCAGTAACTGCTATTATGATCTAAGGACAATAAATCTGGTCATGATGCTCCCCACAGAAGATCAAGAGCTTTGTGGCAGGATGATGCAGAGCAGCAACCAGGTATAAACTTACTCTGCCAACTCAAATTTGTTAACAGATTTTGATTGATTAACTTGATATCAGCCGACATATATTGGGCAAGGTAGTACCTGACTTTTGTCAAAAGGACATAAATCCAGTATAAACTCTGCAATGCAGCTAATTTGACAGAAACATAACATGTGCTCTCCTCAGATCCCAGTCACTGGACTGGGTATTTAATATAGATCATTTTCATTGCCCACCTTTAGTTCAACCTACTTCCTTATATTTAGCCAGGAGTAATATCCCTTCTTTCTATTTATCAGAGTTAGTAACTTTAAGTAACTTTAAAAATATCATTTTTAAAGCAGAAGAAGAATTCTCAGTAGATCCACTTTATTCTGTTTACAGAGAACGGTAGCTGAAAAATCCACCAGAATAACAGAGCTACATTTACTTGTTCCAAGTAATTCTCTGACTATTTCAAGGGTCAGTAATGAAACTAATAGATGAGAAGCTTAATATAGACAAACAACATAGAGACCTTAGAAATGAATAATAGGATGTTTTGAGAATTCATTTTCAGAAAATGATTTGACAATGTAAATGCCAAACTACTATGTTGTAACATGTAATCACTCCATGAGTATACTCACTCAGCCAGAAGTTGCTATAAACACTGTTTCTAGCAATTTGTATTTGCAGCTCTCCAAGCAAATGCACAGCAGACACTACTTTAGATAAAAAACACTTTATCTTTCCAGTGTTCCAAAGTAAAAATTCAGACTTTTTTCACTAAAGATCTGACCAAACTATACGATTTCATAGTTTGACCTTTAAAAACATTACATTATTGTGGACTTCTGATCACAGTTAAGATTACTTTTATTCAATTGTAACTTGCTGTATTTCATACGTTATTTAATTCAGGTGATTGGAAAATATGACAAATGTTAGCTTTTTCTTTTATAAAGCCATGCTTAATAAGAAGGAGAAAATGTGTAAATTATTGATTGTCAGCTTGCATAATGAGCATGGAAATTACAGATGAAAAAGTCTCTCCTACACTTTGCTTTCTAATTCCAACATACTAGCTAGAACTTCTGCTGAAAACACCATCCATAATTTATCTTCCCTCCTTGCTTTTTACATTCAGCTACCTTTACAAAACTATAGACATTAATAAACCTGTAATTCCGAAGAACATGACTGTAGGAAGACATAAGTGAAAACAATCCCTTCAGAACTGTAGTAATAGTAGTACTTGTGCAGGTGACTCCAGTAGGTTGGCTTAGAAATTTGTAAGAAAAGAAAAGCATCAGTCATTCAAGATACCTTACGTGAGGGCATAGCTTCTCAAGTAAGAAGTCTGACTAAAGAGATAGTTTAAATTAGATGAACCAGCTGGAGAGGGCAACAAGACCACAGGACGAACCAGCTCCCACATGGTGGCAGGAGATGGTTGTCTGCCCCGGTGCTCCTTGCTAGCCTGCACAGGAGGCAAGACATGAAATAACACCCGAGCCTGAGGTGGCCGAGAAGCGGTGCCGGCACACTCCCACAGTAAGAGCAGTCACCATGTGTGTACAGTTAAGGTATCAGAGTTCAATGTGTGCAATGGTGAATGTATGGTTTCTACACTTAAAACTCTTCCAGCACGGCCAAAATAAATTCAGAGGCAGGGTTGTATGTGGGCCATTTCTTGGCTGATTTTGAGTTGACATGGTAGAGGAAAACTACTCAAGATGCTACATGAGTTAGGAGAGTTAAGGATAAAGTCGCTGCAGGATCTTATATCGTTTAGAGGTGAGCTGAGAAACTCCTAGCCGTTTTGTCCTTTCACCACACACCTGTGCATCACCCCCTCCCCGTATTTTCCATGTAAAAGCCAGTTGGATTCATCTGTTCACTTACTTGGGCACCCCTGTCATTCTCCATCATCCCTCCTCTGCCTGGCACTTGCCCCCGCTGCAAGAGTCCCAGGAGAGAGACCTCTCTGTTTGGCGCCTTAGAGAGAAAGAAAAAAACAAACAAAAAGCCCGGAATAAAGGGAGGATGTGGGGAGAGGGGGCCTTATCTCTGCCGAACACCACCCAGACACCACCCTGCCAAGCAGCTGAGTCACCCTCCTCCTTCTCCCGCCTCCCTCTGTCCTTGGCAGCCACCAAAAGGACACAAGGATGCAGGGAATAACATGGTCCAGGGTCCTGCCATCCAGGCAGGCCCAACGCCTCTCTGCACAGGCCACCTGCGGGCCGCAGGTCAGGACGCTCTGCATGGAGGATCTCCATTTTGTGGCAGATCTGCACACATGGATTTACATGGAGCATGTGCATAGTGTGTGTGCATGTGTATGCGTGCTCATGTACAAAATACTGTGTACTGTACACATGAATGGGTAACCAAATTAAGTTTTATTAAATCTATTTGGATAGTACTTGTACCCTCAAAGGGGCTAAAAACATTATATATATATATATAAATATACATATTTATAAAAAATAGAACATATTTATATAATATAGAATATATTTATATAAAATAGAATGCATTATATGTACGTTTATTTATAAGTATATAAAAGTATATATATTTACATAAATAAGTAGGCACATATGTAACACCCCCAAGGCAGATCCTCTCTCCGCACGGGTGCGTGCACGCGGGCAGGTCTGCACAGACACCCCGGGGAGAGCCCCGCGCTGCCGCCTCAGCCCCTCCTTCCACACCGCCCCGCTCGGGGCGCGAGGGCGGAGCCCGCGCGCATGAGGGGGCGGGGGTCTCAACGAGCGCCAATCACAGAC